TGTGTGTGTGTGTGTGTGTGTGTGTGTGTGTGTGTGTGTGTGTGTGTAGGTCTGAGGCTGGCATTGGGTTTCTTATTTAATCATCTTGTACTTTAGGTTTTGGAATAGGATCTCTTGATTAACCTGGAGTTTATAGATTTGGCTAAGATGGTTGGCCAGTGAGCTCTGAGATCCTCCTGTCTCTACCTCCCAAGTGTTGGGATTACAGGTCTGTGCCACTGCTATGCTCAGCTTTTTACAGGGGCACTCAACAATCATTTTTAATCAACTGAGCCAGCTTCCCAGTCCCAATACAGAACTTAAACAGTATCCACGGATTTTAAGGGAGCCATAACTCAGGGAGACCTTTTCCCACCCTCTCAGTTGGAAGACATCTTTGAGGGATGCTTCTGGTTAGGACTTGGGCCAGTTTTCAGAAGCTCCTGCCTGTGTGACCTGCAGGCCCATCCTCTATACAGCATGACTCTCTGAAGTATCAGGAGGCCATCATGACTATGTGGCACCACCACAGGCTGGACAGCTCTGGTGTCGAGTTTAGGAATATTCCGCAGCTCACAACTGTGACACTTACCATAAACAGAAAATGGGGACACAGGTGCTTCCTACCTCTCTGAGTGCTCTGATATTAATTTGACAGCCAACTTCCAACCCCCTGGGTACTCTCTGCACCCTTGGGTGGAAGGTGGAGGGTGGCCAACAGGAAGGGGACATCTCTGCCTGTCAGAATAAAGAGGACATATGGCAGCAGGAAGGGTGGGGCTTTAGAATCCAGCTGAGCAATGTGGGTGAGTTCCTTGCTGTCTGAGGAGCTCTTTGGATTAGAAGAATACATAGTTACCTCTGCCAGAGAATTAGGTAAGAACTCGAGCACCCCCAGCCAGGCTGCTGCTCTGTGGGAGATCCTTGCCAGTCCTTCCTTCTCCTTCCCTAAAGCTTCTTCCTGAGATCTCTGCACCCTCACCCCATCTCCGTTTCCTCAAGGCCTCAGGGAATTAGGCAGTCCTGCCCTACCCAGATGGTGTATACTCTTGGGAGATGGATGCCAAAAGGTGGCCCTGTCTCTCTGGGGGGGACAGCTGCCCCTAGGCTACCTCTCACTCAGCCATGGGGATGACTCGGCACCATCTGAGATCACGTGAGCTGGGGAACTTGGACCCTCTCGTTCAAGTCAGCCAACACAGCTGGTTCAGAGGAGCTTCAGCCTCTTAGGGAAGACAGCATTGCTTTGGGTTTGCTTCTTTTAATCATTAACAGAGCCCATACTGCTTTCTGGCCATGCCAATGCTCTTCTGGTCTTCACACGTACTGTTTCTTTGCCTGTCTCTGGACCTTGGCCCATGCTGCTCTTTCTGCCTGAACAACTTCTTTGTCTACTTTCTTGGCTCTCCTAAAAGCTACCCCAGAGTCAACATCCCTTCTTCCCTCAACCCCTTATGATGCCCAGTCTGGGTAGGCCTCCAGGGAGTACCCGCACTAGGGCGCATGTCTCCACCATACCACGTCATACTGACTGGTGACAGAAAGTACTCTCTCTGCCTTCAGCCCGGCTGAGCTCTGTTGAGAATGGGAAACGCCTCCCTCCGTTGTCTTTTGATATCTATCATGGCAGCCATAGGATGCTCGGAACATATTGTCCAATGGATCTGTACCTATGTCCGCTCTAGGGTGGGAAGAAACAGCGACCGTGTAAATTCCTATCATGGATCAAGATCAAGAAGAGAAGCTCAGGGCAAGCTGGAGCATTCATATAGAAAAACAAACAAACAAACAAACAAACAAACAAACAAACAAACACCCAAGACAAGACAAAACAAAACAGAAGCACTCTGTTTCAACAGGGAAGACAACTAGACTGGCAGGGTTGAAGGTGGGGAAATGGCCAGAGAGATGGACGACACCAAAGTAGCCAGATAGTGGTAGCTTGTGGACACTCCAGTTGATCTCAGGACTCCCCCCACGAGTGCACCTCTTTGGGTTGTATCCTGTCTGGACCCACCAGCAGCTCCTCAAGAAAATGTGATGGTGCCCTGGGCTTGACAATTCATTAAGCTGTTGCTGGAACTGGCTAGGGAAAGCTCCCATATGGTTTTATTGATTTTCCTGGCATCTCATTTTTATCATGCAATAATTGTGTTAAAAGCGAGCGACACGACTGGCCCAAAGTTGTTTGAGTTCATTAATGGTGAGGTGTGTAATTTCTAGGTTTTCTTTCAGGACCATAAAAACCATCCTCGAGACTTTTAGCCTTTGTTTCAAAGGATAGACTGGGAGGCCCCTTTTGTGGCTTTTTAAGCGAACACTAAAGCGGCTCACCTGGTCAAATCATGATGGGCATTTCAGGTTTGTTTCAGGCTGCCCTTGTGATTGCTCAGCAAAGCAGCCCCTCCTCTCTCCTCCTTTCCTCCACACAGCCAAGCCAGCTGCTACACTGGGGTTTTGACTTGCATTGACCTCTTGGGAAGCACACACACCAAGGGCTTCAAGGCCTGTCCCATTATGCGGATGACATGGCCATTAGTAACCATGGTAACCTCCCTTCCTTGGCTTTTGTGGCTCCACAGGTCTAAATCCGCACAGGTCTTGTCCAGATTTGAAGGAGTTTCTGGGACCTAAGCAGAAAGGCACCTTTCCTTGAGCCAAGGGAAGCAAATAGGGAGTATTTTCAAAGCCTTTCAGCTGCAAACAACCTTGAATCTCCAATTCAGTAAATTTAAAATAAAACAAAGAAAAGATGCACCACCTCCGTCTTGGTGTGTGTGTGTGTGTGTGTGTGTGTGTGTGTGTTTTCTCCAGCTGTGAGCATAATACACGCAGAGGGTGTGTTAGGCTAAAAGTTTGAGGACTCAAATACGAACAGGCTTGAAGGCTGGTGTCCAGCCAGGCAACAGGACATCCGCTGAAACCTGCCTTATAAATAAGGGTACAGTTGAGGGACATTTGGGTGGGTTGTTTCCAGATTCTGGCTATTATGAATAAAGCTGCTACGAACATGGTTGCACAAATATCCTTTTTGTATATGTGAGCATATTTTGGATATATGCAGGGTATAGAGGCAGATGCTGAGACTCATAGCCAAACTTTGGGTAGAGTGCAGGGAATCATATGAAAGAAGGGGGAGACAGTAAGACCTGGAGGGGACAGGAGCTCCACAAGGAGAGCAAGAGAAACAAAAAATCTGGGCACAGGGGTCTTTTCTGAGACTGATACTCCAACCAAGGACCATTGATGGAGATAACCTAGAACCCTTGCCCAGATGTAGCCCATGGCAGCTCAGTCTCCAAGTGGATTCCCTAATAAGGGGAACAGGGCCTGTCTCTGAGATGAACTCAGTGGCTGTCTCTTTGATCACTTCCCCCTGAGGGGGGAGGGCAGCCTTACCAGGCCACAGTGGAAGACAATGCAGCTAGTCCTGATGAGACCTATTAGGCTAGGGTCAGAGGGAAGGGGAGGAGGACCTCCCCGAACAGTGGACTGGGGGACGGACATGGGAGGGGACTAGGGAGGGGCTACAGCTTGGATACAAAGTGAATAAATTGTAATTAAAAAAATAAATAAGGATACAAGACGATTGGGCCTTATTTCACCCCCTTGTCAAAGAACCATGAAAAAGGACTTACCTCCCACAAAACAAAACAAGCAAACAAACAAAACCTAACCAACCAACCAATAAACAAAAAAACCCTGACAAGTGTGTGGGAGACAGTACATATGCAAATGAGCTCCACTGAACCATTCCGTTATGTGTATGTATTTAAAAACATATTGTATGTGATAACTACAGCTGATAAACACAGGTTGAAAGTGAAATTCTAAACTACTGAATGCTTCAAAATCTGAAACTTGCCAAGGCCAGCATGGCTTGCAGAGGGCTACCACGCCGTGAAGTGTGCAAAATGATGGAAAATATTGCAGCGGAGTTACCTTTGGGCTGTGTGTATAATGTGGATAGGAAACATAAATATTCTTAGATTCAGAATACAGTCCCAGTCCCAAGATATGCCATTACATGTGCAAATATTCCAAATTCTAAAAAAAATCTGAAACCTGAAATGCTCTGGTCCCTGGTGGTTTTGCTAAGAAATACTTGAACATACCGTGCCAGTGACATACCTGATCGATATTGATAGTGTTAGGATTTTGGAATGAAACCTGCTTCTGGGTTGCCTAGCAACTTATGATGTCATCATGTGTCGCCAGCCAGGTGGCCACAACTGGAAGGCAGCATGGTTACCTTGCCCCTTAAAGGGACCAGCCGGCCATGTGGTCTCTCTCGGTCCTCTCTTCTCTTGCTCTCTTGGTCCTTTCTCTGTTAGGGCGCCCACCCCTCTCCTTCTCCCCATCATGTCCTGCTCTCCCTTCCCTCCCTCTTTTCATATCCACCTAATAAACCTCTTTCATAGAAGATCTGTTGTGAGCCTCATCATTCATTAAGTGGTCCCAACAGATAGTTTGTGTAAATATATATGGTCAATTAATACATTAATTTTAAGAAGTACATTGTGTGTGTCAGCCTCTCAGAACCCACTGCCTGTTTTAACCCTGCCAATAAAAAAAGGGAAATCTGTACTCGCCCACCCTCTGGAGTAGACAGGTAGAATTTGGTAGAATTTACCTGTCTAGGCTTGGCCAGCCTCCGCAGGGGTGCTGTCCGAGTCGGAGTCCGCGCGCTCCGCTGTGCCTTCTGCCACTCTCTGACTCCAGCTACCCCATTTCTCTGAGATGGCATCCTCCTCTCCGACCGTCACCTCCACAAAGTCCACAATGCTCGACTCCTCGTTTTCCTCACTGCCTTGGCCGTCTCGGCTGCTGCCCTCGGACCTGTCTGAGGTGGCCTCTGAGGGCTTGCCTGCCAAACAGTCCTTGGCTTGCTCGCCACCCGCTTTTACCCTGGGGACCAGCTTCTCGGAGTTCTCCTCGCAGAGTGCTTTGGGGTCCTTGGCATACTGGTGAGCCACCTCGCTCCCATTCTTTGGGCTCTCAGCCACTTGTTTTACCACTCTTCTTGACACAGCATCGTGGCCATGGTCATCTGCCAGGTGATGCCGCTGGTACTGTTCCAGCCAGCTCAAGGTTCCAGTTTTTAGTAAGCATCGGTTCTCCTTGAACCAGCGCACAATCTCAGTTCGGACCAGGCCGGTCTTGGCAGCTAACTGGTCGTACTCCTGAGGAGTGGGCCACTGGGTTCTCGCAAAAGTGCTCCTAAGCAGGTGAATCTGTTCTTGATTTTGTATGATCGCTGATGAAGGGCTGGGCAGAGAACCGGCTAACTGGCCACCAGAGAGCTGGTCAAGCCGAGATAGAGCACCATTGGGGGCTACCCCATCTGAGCCTTTTTTGCCAGGCCCCATGGAATCCAAGACAGCCTGTTCCATGGTGTCTCGAAGCTTCCGTCTCTCTGAGAACCAGGAGTCGATTTCCCTCCTGCTCAGCTTGGTGTCCACCCTCAGCCGCTCCACCTCCGCCTGGGTGGGGAAAGAGCTTTTCAGAAAGCTGTCTTCCAGAGTTTTCAACTGCCCCTGGCTTTTCTCTTTGAATTTCTGGGGGCCAAAGTCTGGGTATATGTGGTAGGTGCGACCGTGTCGGTTGCTGGTAATGGCCATCTGGTCTTTGGCAAGGGATTCGCTGGTGATGTGGACGATGCCCCTCTGACACCGGTACCGATGGTCACTGAACCACTTCTTGATTTCGCTCCTGGCAAGGCCTGTCACCTCGATGAGCCGGTAGACCTCAGCGTCGTCGGGGAACTGGCTCTGCAAGAAGCTGGCCTTGAGGTGCGCGATCTGCAGTTTGGTCTTCTTGCGGTCGCTAGCCGGGGTGCTGAGCGGGGTGTTGGCCACCTTGGGTGGGGGTTCTGGCACCTGGGTGATGTGTGGGCGCTTCGGCTCAGGGGCAGCTTGAGGAGTCACCAAAGGTCTCTTCTGGCCATGGTTGGTCACCCCAGCCACGGCAAGTGTGATGGGAGAGCAAGAGACCGTTGTTGGCCCACTGGTCACTTGAGTCAGCACCAGGCTGGGCTGGCCAAGGATCTGGCATGGAAGGGCCGTCTGTAAAATGGGCTGCGACACTTTTGTCGGGGCCAGCTGAGCAGGAAGCACAGTGATAGTCGGGGGTACTGACTGAATGGTGCCATTGAACATCTTCTTCCGGGCCTCCTCCACCTCCTCTGGGGACCAGCTGATGCCGTGCTTTAAGCGCTGGGTGGCGAACCAGATTCTGATGTGCTCCTCTGGGTGTTTGGAGGCAGCGGTCAGCCAGGAGAGCTCAGCCTGGGTGGGGTAAGGGAATTTGTTAAAGGAGTTGATCATGGTGGCATTTGTGTCCAGGGCAGAGTTGTATTTGGTAGTATTCAGCGGGACGGGGACCTTGGGGACAAGGTTGATATTTGGTGGAAGCTGTACAGAAGGCATGACGTGTCCCAGTGAATCTTGAAGGAGCTCCACACTTCCAAGCCTGGACAGGATCTCAGCCGTGTCTGTCACCAGGCGGGCAGTCCCTTCCATGTGGTTGTCCGGGGCAGCCTCATCAGGCTTCTTGGGCACTTTTTTGGCATCTCCCTTCAGTTTTCCTGTCTTCATCACGGGGGTCTTACCCACTGAGACCCCAGGGTCGTTGTCACCACTTCCAGGACCGCTGGCGGCCATGGACACATGGTTGGTGGCTTCGATGGACTGTTCCAGAACTGTCTGATTATTGCGCTTGATCAGTTTCAGCTTGAAGTTGGCCTCCCCGGGATGGAACTTGGAGTTGTGGTCAGACAAGGAGTCATATTTTTTGGTTGTGAAGTTACATTCGGCACACACGTAGAGGGGGTTGAGAATCACGTTGGGGTGCTGCATGTCCACGTGTTCCGTGAACTCGTTCAGATTTTGTGTGGAATAAGGGCAATATTTGCACTCATAACCGCCCTGGAGTTTTTTGGACTGGCTTTCCCCCATAGATTTCAGCTCTACCACTTCATTTTCTTTGGACGAGTTTTCGGGTTCTGTTGCCCAGTTGTCCTTGGTCACGTCGGACTGCGGCATGCCCGTTCCTTTGTCTTTGGCCCTGTCTGCTTCCTCCAGCACACCTTGTTCTACTACTTGTGATGTCCGAACCATACACGGAGTTGTTGATTTCCGTTTGCTTGCCATGCTGCCTGCCTGTGACCGACCAATGGCTTCTTTTTGGAGTGGGTAGGGACAGAACAGCGAGTCTCTCGGCTTTTGGCTTAATTCCCTCCCCAGTGCCTTTGGCTTCCCTGGAAGGCTGAAGTCCTCCGTTTGAGTGTGCAGAATGATTTCAGCACAGAAAATCGCAACTGTAGCAATCACTGGGCACACCAGGCAGCTTCATATCTGTGGGACAAGAACAAAGCCGGACTCATGACTCCTCACAATGCAAAGAAATCAGTGCTTTTTTTTTTTTTAAAGACTTGTTCCCATGACCCACTCCAACTGGCACCAAATCAAACACACATGTAAGCACTCATGGTGGGAGGGTGGGGGCTGGGAACATGAAAGGCGACGCTCTCTTTTCTTAGGGAAGAAAGTGGAACCACGGCAAGCAAACAAGGTTGGGGTCTCCATGTTCAGAGACACAAAGTTACAGAAAGAGAACAAAGACACCAGGATCTTCAGAAGTGCCGAGAGGGGTGCAGAGGACAAGCAAGTTGCCGCAAGTTGCTTTTTATTTATGGAACATCAGAAGCAAGACACCTCACTGTGGCCTGCAAATGGGTTTCCATGACATTAGAAAGTGGGTAAGAGAGCCTGGCGGGTGACACATGCCTGTAACCTACACACTCAGGTGGCCGAGGCACTGAGATCATGGGTTTGAGTTCGAGGCTAGCCTGGGTTACATAGTGAGATTCTGTTCCAAAAATCAACAAACAAAAAACCCAAATGAGAAACGACAACAACAGAAATGGATGTGGACAGGTCAATTCTTATCATAAAAGCACAAGTACAGAAAATGCAGGGAAGTGAAAAGGAGACTAATGTAAACCACCAACCCAAGCACCGTGCTTTCCTTGTTTCTCTCAAACTGTACCCCGTTTCCTTTTAAAGGGGCAGCTTGGTATTACACACAGTACAGGGATGAGACACCGGTTTGTATGCTTGTGACAGGGTCTCTCAGACAGTCTAGGCTGGTCTCGCTCTCCCTGTGTAGCGTACGATGGCCACAAAGTCCTGATTCTCTTGTCTCAGCCTCCTGAGTGCTGGGATTACAGGCATGTGCCATCGTGGTTGACTCAATTTGGGGTGTAATAAACTGCCTTTGGACACAGGCCTGGAAATGGTTCTCTCTACTCACGTGCCTGCATTTTTGCCTCAGCTGGCCTTTCCTCTGGCAGTGCCTGAGAGGCTCTGACTCCCAGCTCAGCTGACATGAAAAGAAACTGTCTGGATGTGCTTCTGTGATTTTTATTTCATTTGTATGTATGTGTTCCTGTCTGGACGTGTGTATGGGCGGGCACCTGCAGAAGTCAGAAGAGGGCATAAGATCTCCCGGAGCTGGAGTGAGTTGTAGGTAGCTGTGAGCCCCCTAATGTGGGTGCTGGGGACCGAACTTTGGTCCAGTAGAATAGCAGCGAGTGCTCTTAACTGCTGAACCATCTCCTCAGCCCTTATGCTTAAAAAGAAAAGAACCCCTCCCCTGTGTGTGTGTGTGTGTGGGCGTGTGGGGGGATGGGTGGGCATTTGCCTCTGCATGTGTACAGCAGTGAGAGGACAAACTTAGGAAGTCAGTCCTTCTTGCTTGACACAAGGTCTGTTGTCTGCAGCCTAGCAGGTTGAGAGTTTCTAAGAATTTTCCTGTCTCTGTCTTCTGCCTTGACATGGAAGTGCTGAGATCACAGTCATGTGCTACCATGTGTGGCCTTATATGGGCTTTGGGGTTCTGAGCACAGCAAGGGCTCTACTAGCTGAGCCATCTCCCTTATCTACACGCTGAGCCATCTTGCCTTATTTATCCGCTGAGCGCTTATCCACCTCCATAGGTTTGATCCCTAGTAAAGCTGTATTGTTTTCAGGAGCTTCCTGAAAACATCCTCTCTTTTGTGAACTGTCTCTTCATGTCACTTTCATATTGTGGTGCTCAGTGGCTTTATGAAATTTATTACACCTGCAGCAAAATTTAAAGGCATACCTTTCAGCTGTTTTGAGAGTGTATTTTTACATGTCTAACATGTAGAAATCTTAGATTTTAGATAGCAAATTTGTCTTTTTTTTTTTCCCTCTTGTGGCTTCTTTCATTGTGATTTTATATTTGGAAATTCTGTTGTTTTTTTTTTTAAAGCTGTTTTTTTAAATTCACGTTTTCCCTTTTTACATGTTGATCATTCACTTGAATCATCTTGACTCCTAATAATGAACTAGTTTCTTTAGAGCCTTTTGGCTTAAATTTGTTTGTGTGTTTGCTTTTGATCTCTAGGCTAGGGCCTTGCTATTTAGTCACGTCTCAGGCCTGCCTCAGACTCCCAGCAGCCTTCCTGCCCCGGCTTCCTGAGTGCTGGCATCACACGTGTTACGCTACCATGTCCTGCTAACTAATGGTTTTTGTTTTGCATGTAAGTCACCAGTGCTGAGTTTACCTTGAGTTAAGGTCAACTCTCTTGAGCTAAGCGCAGTGTTTTTCTGTGCACCTTCCCCATCATCTCAGCAGCATGCGCTGCGTGACCCTTTATCACCGGGGTGTAAGGAACCACCTTCGCCACACGCTACAGTTTACATTACCACAGCTTGTTCCCAGTTGCCCAGTCTGTACACCCAGTCTAACTACAGCGGCTTACTGAGCAAGGGGTTCCTCTTCGCTCCTCTTCTCTCTCTTTCCTTTCTTCCTTTCTCCTTCTTCCTTCCTTCCTTCCTTCCTTCCTTCCTTCCTTCCTTCCTTCCTTCCTTTCTTTTCCTTTCTTGTGCAGAACCCTTTCTTGGTTAGTTCAATTATCCTCACAAATCAGAATCAACTGCAAAGTAAAATCCTATTAGAATTTTTTTTTTGGAACTGCAATAAACAAATATTAATTTGGGCCACAGGCACAATTTGCTTATTAGAAGGTATGGCCAACAGCACTCTGGGGAACTGCTGGGCTGAGCCACTGTTGGCATCTCAATGCCTTTTACTCTGGGGCTACTTTCATTGTGGTTTTATATTTAGAATAGAAAAGAGGGTGTTTGGGGGCAAGGACATCCAACATCTGGGAGAAGAAAAGTGAAGAGGTGACATATTGACCTTTGAGTCCCACTCAGGACAGGCCTCAAGGGCAGAAGTGAAGAACTTATGTAAAGGGCAACTCTGAGACGCTGGGGCTCAGGAGCCACACTGTGCAGGACTCAGGAAAAAGCCCCTTGGTGAGTCCCAGAGCCTGATCTCTCTGACACGGGAACACTGGTGTTTTCAGGCTGGGGTACTCTATCAACAGCAGGTGCACGCTGCTCAGGAGGGGTAGGAGGGAGAGGCCACGGGAAAAGAAGAGCAGAGGGTGACCAAGTCTTTCTGTTGACCATACTTGTAACAGACCCCGAGAAGCTGGTTCTGCTAAAAGCCACTGACTCCTCACTCAGGCTGGAAAGGTAACTGAAGCCAGATGAACATCTCTGCCTTCATTGTGTGTCTATCTACTTTACTTTGATTCAGACTCCCACTTGGCCCTGCCCAGGCACAGTCATCGTTAAGACATGTCTACCTATCTGAGCTGTCTCAGCTTCTTTAAGGTTAAAAGAGTCATTGTCCTAAACCTGCAGTCACCGTGAAGTCCAGGAAGGGCAAATCCCACAGGACAGACCTCCCTAAGGTGAGAACAGTGATCTATGACGGAGAGGCTGCATAGATTATCCTGAAGGGCTTCTAAACCATAACAGTGATTATGAGATGAGATGAATTGATTATGACATCACCTTTCAGACAATCATAGGCAGGACCATACTCTGACCATGGGCTACTTAATTACACTCCTTTTGCCCAAATTTCCCTAAAGCTCATTATCAATTCCTAGAAGATGAGCTAGGAGTCACTAGACTCCTTTAGTTTTGCTCTTTCCAACACACTGATTAAAATATCTACCAGCACGCAGGAGGCCGAGGTAGGCAGATCTCTGAGTTCAAGGCCAGAGTGATCTGCAGAGTGAGTTCCAAAATAGCCAGGGCTACACAGAGAAACCCCGCTAGAAAAACCAATGAAATAAAATGACAAAAATTCTCTCTGCTTTTCACTATTTCCCTTCCCTTTAATTGGCATATTGCGATGGGTAGCAAGACTATCTTCTTGCGAGTGCTGGAGCTGAAGCCAAACTTGGTAGCTGTCCACTGACACTGGCTTCTTGCAGCCTCCATTTCTCTCTGAGTTTCATTCTCTCAAACACAGGCTGCACACATGAACATTGCAGTCAGTCAGTGGCTCTACTTTTGCCCACTTGGGCCTTAAATCTTTTGGCCCTCTCCACATAGCCACTTCACCAGCAGTCCCATTGACTCTAGTGTTCAAAGACGCTGTTTAACTCTGAGCTAAGCCACCATTATCTCTAGCCTGGATTCCCACCACAGCCACCCACAATTCCCCTGCTGCTTGTCCAGAGCAACAGAAGGATGTGTTAAGACTAGAGTTCGCTCTGGGTGCTCTCTGAAGCGTCTCTGGTTTCACGTTACAGTGAACTCCACTCTGTGGTAACCGCCTGCAAGCTTGGGCTTGCTGTGACCCATGCCCTTTCTGCTTTGTGGACACATTCCAGCTGCTCTGCCTGGAGTGGCACTTCTATTACAGGGCCCGTCAGAACATTCCACACCCAGAGAGGGCACTTCTGGCTATCACTTCTTTGTAAGTGAACGTCTCCCCGCGACTGTTCCTTCACTCTTCCTTGCTTTCTTCAAAGCACTTTCCAAAAACCAACCTTATAGTGGTCTATAAGTGGTGAAGGGCATAGCCACCCAGTTGCTTATTGCTGGATCTGTGCTGTTCAATATGGCAGCCACCAGCCACATAGGGCTCTTTGAACTTAACTGAAGTGAGGAGGCTCAGGAGCCAAGTGTGGAGTGATTTCCATATTCACAATAGGGCATTGTCACTAAATGGGTAGTGCTAGAACCAAATGTCCTGGAAGGGGTGAAGATTTTCTTAAGAGCTACACTTTGCTTCTCTGAGACAGGAGAGTGGCTATCAACACTGACAGGAAAGAAACCAGTTGGCAGAAGACCACAAACCTCTCCCTGTCAGGGCTACATATAAGGAATAGAGCATGTGCAAGCCACATACAGGATACAGAACTGTAGGAAAGGCACATGCTCTGTGTGTGACCCACAAAGGCTCACCACTCTTGGGGTGGGAACTGAACACTGCTTTGAACTTGTAACCTTCTCCAGCT